AGTCTTGCTCATTCCTTCCCTGCTTTTCACTCCTATTTCACGTGTGTGTTTAAAATGCCTTTGTCAGGATTAAAATATATCTTTACCTATACCATTTTACTAAAAAACCCTGAGAGCCTAGCAAAAATAACTGTAAAAAACCACTTGCTACGTCTTGCTACAGGATTAGGTTTTTTTGTCCTATGCTGCATTCTTTTCGTCTTGGGAAAACGTGTACAATGAAAATAGATTAGCTCCAATTTAATCAACAAAATCTAGGTGTTACGGGAAAAGGGCTTACAACAGGTTGGGACAGAGCTATAAAACCAGATCAGTGCAAGAGCATACAATTCAAGATTCAGAATAAGCTAATATAGTTAAAATGAAATCAGATAATGCTGCTTATAATTATTTTTCATACATTTTCTAGCAGAAAATAATACTTTCTGGTAGCTTTAAACTTTTCCCAGATTCAGCCTGAAATTTTGTTTGTTGCATTGATTTCTATATCTCTATTTAGATACGCATTTTAAGTGATAGTTAAAGGGAGTCAGTGTTTTCCAAAATGGAGTTTTGGGAAATGTTTTTCCTTGGGAGGAACATGTTTATTAGGAGGTTTTGTTAAATTCTAGTGCCTCCTATATGTGGACAGAGCTTTGCAATTTAGCAGGAAAAAAAAATGAGAAAACAACCATACTTTTTGTCACCTCTAAGAGTGTTTGAAGCTGTTTCTTCAATTTTTCTTGATATTTCTTAGAAGTTGGGGGGAACACCCTTAAGATTCAGTTTGTACCAAGAGTGTACTTCAGCTATTGATACCTTTGCTGTGCCAACAGTCCTAGGTATGTCTTTTCTTTGGTAAGCAGCTAAGTATGCTTCAACTGCAAGTGGAAGATGCTGGGCAAAATTATCTTACAATTGCTCCTGCAAGCAATCGTGGGTGCAGGTTGCAGGAACTGAGAGGAGGTCACATTACCCATGCCCTCAGAGCTTCCTGTGCTGCAGCCCAGGAAAGTCAAGGAGAGTAGGGAATAGCATTGATGCACAGTGTGAAAGTTCTTCAGCAGTTGAGTGGAGAAAGAGCTGGAAAAAGACAAGTGAAATCAACTGTGGATTAGTTGGATGTGTGGGAAATGTTATAAAAATGCAAAGCTCCCTGAAGAATTATGTCATAAAATAAATGATTCATTTTACAGGTGGTTTGGGTTTTTTTGGTTTGTGGTTTGTTTTGTTGTTTTTTTTTTTTCTCCTTAAACTTTCTGTGGCTCTGGTTGTGCTGTTCTGAGACTGCTAATTCTGAGGCAGAAACGTAGTAGTATCTGTCTCAGTAAGTAAGAAACTTGCCCTCTTGAGAAATTCTCTCATTACAGATTTCGAAATAGTTTACCATTTCCATGCAAGCCCTAGTAGTATCTGTCTCAGGGCAGTAAGAAACTTGCCCTCGCGAGAAATGATCTCGTTACAGATTTGGAAATAGTTTACCATTTCCATGTAAGCATAGATTAACCTTGGTTCAAGGGATGGCATCATGAATCACTTTTTTTCTTCTTCTTCTTTTTTCTCCTTTGGAGATATGGAATTCTCTTGATCAGCTATACGTCCACCCAAGTGTGGCATGTGTCTCTACTTCCTTGGCTTAAAATGGACATAAACCCATCACTGCATTGATGTTTGGGATGGAAAGTATTAATTATATGATTCTGCTGTCATGGAAATCCCATGGGAAAATTAGGAACTTGAAAGGATTGTGTGGTCTCATGTGAACATGGCTTTAGATGGATGTCCCAAGAAAACTTGAGTAGATAAGTAAAATTTGTAAACATACATGATGTACGTAGCATAATAATTACCTATTTACTTAATAAGGCAGAGATCCTGCTTGAAAGGGAGAGGAAAAAAATACTACCTGTATATGCATACATGGTATGCATATATTCCCATGTATATGGGAAACGTAAATGCTAGCATTTCCTAGCTGTTGAGTGCTACATTTCTGATGTTCATATGCTTCCAGTGTGTGTTGGTGCCTTGGGGTTATTAAAGATATAGGGATGTGTTTGTTTGTGTCTCCCAACTTCCCTCAAGAATGACAGCGATGGCATTAAGACACCATTTATAATCTTAGTTTGGCAATCAGATTCTGTTAACCTAAACTAGGGATAATAACCAGAGTTGATTATATGTAATATTTTTATGTATGCTGTTTATTAGTGTGTATTCATGTAATATTCAGGTGAGGGCGCCCATACCATGGTCTGCAGATCCTATCTGGTGAACAGAGCAATCTGTCCAACCTGCTCTGTGCTAACAACTTTCTGGGTCACAAGAGCTCACCAAAACGCAGGCTTGTCCTCTTCACAGGACAGGGTTCGCAAACTCCATGGGGTGTCGAGTCATATGTGAAAGGATGCTTGCATAGCCCTTCTTGAAGCAGCGTGTGCATCTGTACCTTAAGGGGAACTGCTGCCTTTTACCCATATACCAGTATTTTTCCACCTAAGTGACAAAAAGAAGCTGGAGTATATGGCCACTCTTCCTCATGTGTGTAGAAAAGGTTGTGTGATCAGGCAGGGCTCAGAAGCTGTGTTTCTACTGTTCCTCCAGCATGTACAAATTTATGACTGGAGACTAAAGACACTCAAAGAACTGAACGTTTTCCTCATAGGAATACAACGTAAAGAAAGAACTAAGAATTAACAGGAGAATCCTGCAACAGATTATATGGCTGTGAAGGACGGTAATACTAAATCCACTAAGAGATGTTGTAAACAGAGCAGGAATCATTATCCTGACTTACCAGCCAGGACAAGGTCATAAAATGTGAACAAAATACCAGAATACAGGCTTGGCTGCATCTCTCCTACCCTCTGATTAGTCTGTTAGTCTGTTTATGGTTGAGTTTTATGCTAGCTTTATGTTGGTTAAAAACAAGAAAAAAGGGGGGGGAGAGAGACTACATAAAGTGCAAACCAAGAGTGAATAAGATTTTGCAATGCTAGAAAGAGCAAAACAAGGGTATCTCTCTGCAAAGGGACTGATGGAAAAGCCATCTGAAGTGGTAATTGTACAGCCTTTGAAGCTCTCATTAGGAATATTTGAGAATGCTGCTTGAAGCTAAATGACCCATTAGCATCCTCTGCTGACTAAACAAAGGCTCTGGCGTTTTGGTAGTGGACAAGGACATCTAGGTGTTTTAAGATAGTCTGCAGTTTTAAGCAGAGGTTTCCTGGTTTGACTTGGAATTAATCAAGGTTAAAAGAAAAGAGGACACCATAGCAGCCCTGTTGTCTCATGCACTCAGCTTTCAGAATGCATTTTAGTGACCCCTCTAGAAATGAAGGCTGCAAGTGCAGAACCGCTATGAAGAAACCTCACTTTGCGGGTGAAAAAATTTGCTAAAGAGAGACATAGCCCTGGTGCATCTGTATTCTCCCCCAAGAGTCACAGTAAACTGATTGAAAAGTGTGAGCAAAAATGGGTGCCCCCAAGTAGGGTTTTGGGGAGGGGGAGAATAGTGTCCCCCCTCACACTCCTTCCTAGCATACCTGACAAAATGATCCTTAATACATATTACACATGGAATGATACATTTAAAGCACCTATTTTTTTTCCAAACCCAAAGAAAACATTTCTGTGTGAGTAATTGAAAAGCAAATGGAGAGCCAAGATGAATCACTGACTATCTGCTATGGAGGCAGGACAACACAGCATTTTAATTTGTTAAAAAATAATAATCTGGAAATCCACACTTTAATAAAAACCACCAGTTTGGTTGATGATCGATTCTGGAGGAGAGGACAGGTCATGCATCACAGTTCTCCACTGGAAGCGCTTCTCCAGCTTTGCATAGCAAAATGGATGAGCCCTGGGAGGGTTGCAAGAGAATGAAGCACTGTGCTCTGGAGCACCAACAGAAGAGATGAGTCTCCTGTCACTTGCAGGAGTTGCACTTCGTACTTGTGGCCAAAACATCTTTAGAACAAAGTAGCTGGGGAACTATGGCTCTATGGGAAATGCAATGCAGCGCAGAGTGGTGTAAACCAGTTACCAAAGGATTGAGGCAGACTGGGAGGGCTGATTACAGCAGTTAGGAGAAGAAAGGAAGGAAAAGTAGGTAACAGCAGTAATATTAACATAATCTTTCCTGTGAGAGTGCTGCTTCAGTTGTGCGAAAAGTAAAGAACTCTGGACAAATGTAATTGGTTTATCAGGTCAAAATGGTGTTATCAAGTCTGGTGGCTGGAGGACTGGTTGATCTGGTCTCAAGGAAAATGTCTGAGTTGACTCTGTGTCTCACTGAAGTTACTTTTTTTATGTGTTGATAAGAGGATTACTGACACTGTGGGATCATGGAAACACCCTTCTTCTAATCCATCCAAAAGGGAGGAAGAGGAATTGAACTATCTGGAAAAGATTTTAAATGGGAACAAACAACATTATGGCCATGGAGGTCACTGGGAAGGCTGATGGGTTTAAGTAGAAACAGACATCAGAATTAAAACCCTGTAGAATCTTTTTTACCATATCTTAATTTGAATGAAATCAGGGTGGTTAATGCTGGAGTTACATTTGCCTACCCTGTAAACAGCCTGCTTTATTGCTTGGCTAGATTTCACTGCACAGCAGGGTGGAGAGAGACCTCTTTATATTGCAGGAGACAGTCTCCTCCTGGCAGCCGGAAAGCAGATTTGACACCCCCAGACCAAAACCAAACTGAATAGCCTTACCCAAGTCCAGCCCTCCAAGCAGAGTCTGGAAATTTAGTGTGACACAAACAATGATTTAAGCAGGACAAAAGTAGTGCAGAGAAGGTGATTGTATCTAAGGGGGATTTTCACTGAAAAGGAAGAATCTGGATTGTCCAGAAGGATGAGTCAGTCTGAAAAGAGACAAATCTTCCATGTTGTATTGACTTGTTTCATCCTACTGATGGAAAAATAGCAAAATTTCTTCATGGATTTACCCTCCATCTTCCTGTTAAATGTTCATGCATTTATTTCTTTGTCTGTTTCCTCTTTTAGCTACGAGCCAGGAAGATGAAGTGCTGCCTTCTCTCTGTTGCGTTGGCCATTCTGCTGTTCGTTGTCATAATCATCGCAGTCTCTGTCAAGCGCTGATCTGGCTATGGTTTCCACAGGTAAAAGCCTTTAACTAAGTCTTTTATCATACTCTGTAAGATGGCTGGGAGACAGTTTAGGAAGCTGATAACGGTAAGAAAAACTTATCTTAGCTTGCATATTCAGGTGTGGCCTATGAAAATAATTTCCTTTAAAGGGTATTTGAGCTCGGAAATAACATCCTTAGTGGATCATTAAATGTAAGACAAGGTGGTATTCAAACAAAACATCTTATTACCCTTTTCTCTGCTGTTTGTGTTGTGTTTGATTTTGTATGGATCTCATAGCAATGCTAATTAATGTATCCTAAATCCATATGAATTTGAGATGCAGAAATGGTGTTAAAGACCCCAGACTGAAGCAGGGTCGGGGGCAATCCAACACCCCACAGATATGCTGAGATATTCCAGAATGCACCTACCTGCTGAGATGTTCCAAAGAGACCCTGGAGCCAAGCTCTCCTGAGGAGCAGGAAGACAAACAACTGGAGATTGTAGTATGGACAAAAATAAAAATGAGTTTCTAGTGACCTTTGCTCTGGATCCACCCTTAAAAGGAATATTGGTCTGTAGTGGGGAGAATGGGATGTAACCTTACCAAGATAGGTGAGACATCAAAGCAACTTCATCCCACTAGTGAAGTTTAAGCTATCGCATGTTTTTTTGTAAAGAATGTGCTTTAAATGTAAAGCATAAGACACAAAGAAAGTTTTTCTTTTCCTTTTCTTTGCCTCATTACCCCTAGGAGAATGACTCATAAGTTATTTCTGATAATCTCTGTCTGATACAAAGCATTTTGGAGTGTCTGCTTCTTTAGAAGGTCGCTAGGCCATTATTCAAGGAGACATTAGATTTACAGAATTTCTACCACCCCAAGGGCTCTGGCATTCCAGGTCTGCACGCCTGCTGCCATGGCAGGGTTTCTGACTGCTAAAGCCACAACCCAAGAGTATCAATGGGACTTTTCCTGCAGACAGAAAGTAGGGAGCCTGAGGCAGAAAGCAAAGGAGGGTGGGTACTACTTTTGGTTTAGAGACCTCTCATGTCCCACAGAGATTTGCATAAAGCATGTATGATATCACTCCTGTACTTAATAGATACTGCATTATACTGAGGCTCACTGGGACCTTTTACAATAATTTAAGTGGAGATTTCTTAGCCTGAACTATCCTCTGGAACTATCCTGGAGAAAGCACAAAGGATTGATAGATTTCGTTTGTTGTTTTGTTTTACAAGAGTTCAGTCTTACCTGACAATGCTATCCTTCCACCTGAGGATGAAGTCATTGCCTTCTCATGTGCCTTCTTTCTACATCATGCTCTCAACTGAAAATAGCAGGGATTGGTTCAAAACAATCACAGAAAGACGATTCTTTACACAAGGTGTACTTAAGCTTTGGAACTCCTGGCATGACATTGTGAACGCCAAAATTTGGGCACAAGAAGAAATTGAACAAATCCATGAAAGAAAAAATCTATTGAAGGCTGTAAAGTACCATCTCATTGGTTTTAGATGAGGATGGTCATGAGCTAAACATTATTGAATGCTAGGAGAAAGAGCTCTAAATACTTTTTTCCTACACTTGTGTGCTTACTTAGGCATTTGGCCAGCACTGAAATGAGGACAATATCAGTGGGATGGACCTTTAGATTGGTCAAATATGGATGTGCTTATATATATATATAAATACATATTAAAAAAAATCTACATATATTTTTATCCCTTTTTTACATAAGAGACAGTGCTTACGGGTGCAGATAGTGATCTGTCCTGCTGATTTAAATCTAGTGCAACTACAATAATTTTAGTTACATTACTCTGGTTTTACTCTGCATTAGTCTGGTTTGAAAATCTGATCCATCATGGTAATCTATAATACAATAAAATTTCTTTTATATATAGTTAAATATTCCCATCTACTAGAAATCACAAATCTTATCAACAGTTTACTAAATCTAGACACATTTTAATCTAAATCCCTTAAGTGGAGAAAGTCAGAGAACTAAAATATTCTTACAATAAAACTCCCTTGGAAAATGAGAGTTAATCTTCTGTTAAGAGATCCATGTCTTGAGGGAAGTGAACCTAGAGGTAGTAATGAAAGCCCTAGGAAAAATATAATGCTCTACTTTTCATCAGTTGTGAAACTAATTATTAAGCTTCTAAAACACGAGTTACTCTCCAGTAGTACAAATGTAGGCTAGACCTGCATTGAGTTATATTGGAACAAGTATGCTTTCTGATCATTATAAACTGTTCTTAATCTAGATTGACCCCAAATGGTGTGCAGCAGATTTCACATTTATATTTTGAAGATTTCCAAAACAGAACATTTTCAGAATTTCCATGTCCATAGTGAACACTTTTTCTGTTTCGAATTGCAATGCAAATGGATTTTAAAATATCAGTGGATTTAAAGTTTCAACTACCTCAACAAACTGTTTCATATAAAACTGTCTTACATACTTTAGGGAGATAGAGAACAGCTGGGTTTTAACGTATAACAACTCTATGTGACCATTCAGAGAAAATAAAGGGAAGAAAGCAAGCTGGGGAACTAATTACAAAATACTCTGATTGGCACAGGACACATAACTGAATAAAATCCCAAGTTTAGTAATGACTGGCCAGAACTTCCATTTAACATGTCATCAAAGAGTTTGCTCTGTGCTGGATCAGTAAGGAGCCAAAAGAAACACCACCAGCCACCCCATTCAAGCGGTTTAAATCTCATTTGGATGATATTCAAGGTAGGCTTCTTCAGCTTTCATGAGTGCAGTGACAATGAGAAATCTGAAGGTCGCTATTCAGTGAGTTAAAGAAATGATGTCATTAGCATCTACAATCACTAATGATCGTTATGATCATTAACATATAAAGTCTTCTTCCCCTTTTTTTTTTTTGTTGTTGTTCTTGTTTCTACTTTTGCAATAATGATACTGAATCAACAGTTCTTCTCAAAAGGACAAAACCCCCACTTTTTTCCCCCACCACAAATCAGACATGACTTTGGCAGACAAGCCCATCCTTCCACAGGAAAGATTGCTTTATGAATCTTGAAAAGTAAAAAGCACTTTTTCCCATGAGTTTCTCAAGCAGTGGTGGCATCATGCATCATCAGTTGCTGGCTGAGTGTGTGCAGAAGGACCAGCTGTTCAGGAGAGCTCTGAGCCCTGACTTCTGCCTGTCGAGGCCCCTGCCGTAAATATGTCACTGCTCCCTTGGGGCAGTTTTGTCTGGCAGAGAGAAAGAAGAGCATCTATGGAGGATGCGGAGAAACTCCTGGGGACTTATGTCTGAACGTTTGTTTGCTGACACCTCAGGAAAATAGCCCAGGAACTTTTGGGTCACATTGCTCATATTGTAGCAACATTGCAGCTGCTCTTTTTGCACTTATGGTACAACATCAGTAAACATCTTAAAAGGACAGTATCACAGTAGCAGTCTGAAAGAAGTCCCTCCTTTAATAATGTCTTTGTCTAGTGTCAGCCTAGATAGACTTTCTGTGTTCTCCTTCTTTTGACTCATTTGGATGAGTGCACAATTGCACAAAGTGACAATCAAGACCGTTGGAATCCTAAGTCTTAAGCATTCTGCATAGGAAAAAAGAGGTGAAAAACTTTGAGAAAGATGCTACATGTATTTGATATTTGGAAAATATGCTTTCCAATGACAACTTAATCATCTTGATCTATTTAGCCAAAGAAAAAATGAAAGATGACTTGACTACTCTGCGCCCTTTTCTTGGAAGAAGTCATTGCAGCAGAAGGTGCCTTCCCTGTTTACAAGACACACTTCGGTCAGACAAAGGTTACTGGACTGAGCACATGGACTTTGTTATATAGGTCCTTAAACCCTGTGGGGTTACTGTTCTTTCCAGCTTTAGAATCTGTCTGTGAATAAAGAGGCAAGAGCCCGGAGGAGTAAAACAGTGTTTTCCTTCTTGGTAGCTGATGCGATGGTTGACAGGATGCTCAGCTATGGAAGAGCAGAACAACAGGAAAGTGTACAAGTGATCATTCAGCAGAATATTCTCCTAGCCTTCAGCAACTTGAAGCTCAAAGGCTTCCTGATCCAGGAGGTAGTTATTTAATCTTTAACTGTGATCGATGCATTCCTTTCTTGTTAATTTGACCAGTTGCATTTTGAACCATCATAAACTTTTAAAATGTGAAATATCCTGAGCAAGGAGTTCCACTCTAATTGCAGTCAACATTAATCTTTAATGTACAGCTAAAAATCCATCTTGGCCAGCATCTCTAGATCAGGGCTGTAGTCCATATTGAAAAGCAATAATCAGGCTCCAGGTATCTGTTTCCTGAATATGCAACTGTCTTGTTTTGAATTTAAATTGAATTAATTATTATAGAAAACTAGAAAATATTGTTTTCATTTGGATTATTTTTTTCCATCCTTTGCAATCACAGTTTTCCTTGCCTAATTCATTTATGGGCTTATTATGTGGTTAAATGTTTTCTGTAACCTGACCAATGAGGATGAGGTTCAGAGAAATTATTTTATACAATCCATCTTTGGTGGGTTTTTTTTCCTTATTTTCAGATCTTAAGGGTTTTTTTGGGTTTGTTTGTTTGTTTGTTTGTTTTTTTCTTTAGTACCTCATGCACTACAATGTCCCTGTGTGCCGTACCTGTGGTTCCTTGCAATGCGGTAGGAATCATAAAACCTGTACTTGTAGTCACTGCATGTATTTGGAGGAGCAGAGGAATGTGCCTTCATGCAATCTGGCCTAGGGGATTAAATCTCAGTTTTAAATCTCCAAGGTTGAAACCAGGACAGCAGAATAGCTTTCTGTAAAATGGGATTTTGCTAGGTAAGCCTCAGCCCCTTCTGATGTCATTAATAGCGCACCTTTCCCTCATAGCAGCAGACATCCAGGTAGGGCATGAAGTACCATGTGGAGCCACGAGGAAGTTCTTCCAAGGCAGGGCACATCAATAACCCACCAACCAATGCAATCAGAGCCCATAGCTGTCGGGCTCATGAGGGCTGTAGGCGGCAGA